AGTCAAGGATTCAATCATGGATGGATTCAATCAAAGATTCAATTTTGGCAAACATTTCCACCAGAACAATTTGAACAAAGAAAACACTTTGTTTTCAGTCACTAGAGATCTAAAGTGTCCCCTTTTTGATCGAATGACCAATAAAATTAGTGGGTCCTTTTAAAGGAAAAGTAAAGGAAAAGGAATCTTTTCTCTCGATCTTTTCCCCAGGAATAAAAGTCAATCAGCACCTCATCTCTTCGACTACAAATATTTTTCTCCGATTTTTTTCGATTCTCTTGCAAATGTAGCAAACAAGTGGGGTCATTTTAATTAGCATTTGATTCTTGAGAGGTTACTAATTTCTTGAAAATCAAAGGTTTCGAGAAAAGAGTTTTGAAAACAACATGGGAATGGGTGAGAGTAAGTCTGACGTTCAGACTCTAGGGGTTTAAAATAGACAAAAACATTTAAACTTCTGGGATTTCGAAGTAAAGCTAACATTCTGAAATTGTCCAGTTTTATATTTATTGAGACATTAGCTAGATGTTTCAAGGAAATGTTTGTGTATATTGCTTGAAATATGGATAAATAGCTTATATTGGGTTGGTGAATTAAAAACTGCGGGACTTTGAACTAAAATTTATTCAACATAAAACCATCAATTCATTCCAAATAATTTCCATTATTATTGACGACTTCTGCCCATTTTACAGGCAATTTGCGGATTCCTCTTTCGTAGTAGGATTTTGGTTTGTGTGTGAGACAAGTGTGAGACTCAAAACTGGAGGACTGGAGATGGAGACTGGAGATTCCAGTTTGAGCACTTTCTTCAAAAGAAACCCATTTTGGTGTCAATAGAAAAGTTGTAGAGAATCAAAAATTAGGCTTATAGCCAAATTTCCAAAAAGATACACTTAGTAGTTTCGCTTAAAATGCAAGTTTTGTGAAAATTCGTAAATTTCGCATTTCTTGAAAACCGGTTCTTGAATCCTTCTGAAAATTTGGATATAAGCTTAATTTTTGATTCTCTACAACTTTTCCATTGACACCAAAATGGGTTTCTTTTGAAGAAAGTGCTCAAACTGTCACATATGACAATAGCCCGCAGTTTTCAATTCACCAACCCAATACTTTGCCCTTGTTTGATTAGGCTCAAAGATTGACAATCGACAACAATCATTTAGTGGTAAAAAAGTCGTCCACAATCGAACATCTCCAACCGCAAACTCGGGTAATATATAAAGCAGAAGCGACGTCTGCCCGTCTGTGCGCAGCGCATTGGCAAAAAGGGGCGGGACTTAGCTTGCGCGGAAAACTTCCCAGTGGAAAATGGGACCTCCCCAGTGGAAAACGCAAACGTTAGTGAGCGCTTTTCGCTGGTTAAACCAATAAAGAACGAATACAAAAAATAGAAACAATACAACTAACCAATGGGGAGAAACTTTGAACTAATGACCTGCCAGATTGGTAAAAACAGAAAGTGTAAAAGGATTGCTGGGGCTTTTAAAAGCCGATGTCTACGGGATTTTGTCACTAGCTTTCCACCTTTACGACAAGTTAGTTTATAGTTTACATGCAAATCTACTAGATATAATTGAGGGCTTTCTGTCCGTCTGCCCGTCTTTCAACTTTCATCTCGAGAACCGGAGAAGCTAGAGTTTCAAAAAAAACACCCGTATAGGTTTTCGAGGTCGCGGAGTTCCCCGTTGAGGTCAGATTTTTTTCTACGAGCAACGGAAACAGTAGTATTGCGTACTCCGACCCTAAATCTCAGCCTCCAGTCTACCGACTTTCATGGTTAATGTATCATTTTGTAGGAAATTTAAAGCTAGAATAATTTCGATGGGTTCCAGGACAATTTCGCCGTGCGGCCGTGTAGCGGACGACCAGCGCAGCTAGTTGAAAAATTGTGCGAACGGGTAGCAGAGTCGCTACACTAGGTATGATTATCTCAAGCTTGCAAGTACCAAATAACATTGGGTATCGTATTAATGCCAGCCGTAGTAGACCAGTTCATCAGTGCTGTATCTGTACCAGTACTGGTTCTGGTATCGCTACACTGCCAATGCTGGCCCTCAATGTCATTGCTGGCACTCAAGGCCTAAGCCTCAAGGCTAGTGCTGGCCCTCAAGGCTAGTGCTGGCCCTCAAGGCCAGTGCTGGCGCTCAATGCCATTGCTGGCTCTCAATGCCAGTGCTGGCGCTCAATGCCAGTGCTATGCCAGTGCTGGCAATCAATGCCAGTGCTTTGCCAGTGCTGGCATTCAATGCCAAAACTGCTAGCACCAGCTGGAGCAATCTGATGGTGTCAGCGCTGACTCAGGACTAGTTTGTGACATCATCAATTGATATCATCATCAGTTTTCCAAAATCAAGTAATACAATGCTTTATTATAGTAGATTCATTGTCATTAAGGTGTGATAAACATGTTTATTTTATTCTAGCCAGGTTTGATATTGGCTTCATTGACTTTCTAACGGTAATGAAGAGGTTGGAAGGACTGGTGCAAGTTCTGGTACCGCACTTATAAAGACTTTCCAGGCAAATATTTTCCTGCATTTTACCAAGAAATCTCAGTAGAAAACACGTTAAACTGTGTTTAAACTCATTTTTTAATTATCCAAAGTCAAACGAGAAACTCACGTAAATAGAAAACAAAAAAGAAAAACCCTCATTGTGAAAGCAATCGAGATAAATTCATTTCCTCATCGTTCAAAATAAACAGGATTGGATCGGGGTCATTCTGAAGGGAAATTTTGCGCCTAATGATACGGCTTTTTTTTTCGGCATTCAATTCGAGAAACCCTTTTTTTCCGGCCAATAGATGGACGCTTAATGATGCTTTCCGACTATCGAAAAAACCACAGACGAGTTTTTCAGGATTTTAAGCAATTTTAAGCAAAATGACTTTTAGACAAAAATGTGAAAAAGCTTACCAGGGAACCTTCCCAAGTTACCCGCGAGTTACAATATGAGGTAAGCATTAGAAAATAACATTATACAAATTTCTAATAATCAGTTTTTTAATGTTTTTCAAAAAAAGCAAAAAGTTTGGCTGCTAGTGGATCCGAACCAAGATCACAGAGTTCCAGGCGCAGGCACACTAACCACTAGACTGCGAGCTGCCTTTTGGGAGGGCGAAAGGAAAGCCTTTCCGCCGGCAAAAATCAGTGTGCCAGAAATTCGAGAAAAGCCTTCATTTTTTCGAAATTCAAATGGCTGTAACTTTGTGCGTTTTGCCGATTAGCGGCTTTTGAAAACGGCTTCTGAACGTACATTTTCAGGTCTTTCTTTTTGCACCTACCTCATATTGTAACTCGCGGGTAACTTGGGAAGGTTCCCTGGTTAGTTTTCATTAAAATGATTTTGACAAGTTTCATGAGTTCAAATAAAAAAGGGAAAAAAAGGAAACTTTTTAAACCGTGAAAACTCTTTGTGAGCTTTATAAGGATCGTAAATAAATAGTAGATTCAGGAAATGTTTTTGAGAGACAGGTGGCAATTAGACTAAGTGTTTCCTTCATTTTTCTGAGAAAAGCTTAGCTTTCAGGCTTAGAACAGCTGAGTTTTCTTTGTCGTTTTTAAATGTTATAAGTTAGGTACATGGAAAGATCAAAGAATGGCACAAATTAGGCTTCGAAATGCTTGAGTTGAACGATAAATACAAAGACAAAATTCCTCTTGATTGTTCAATGAGCTTCTGGCAAGAGTATGATAATGAGGTATGACAGAAAAATGAGGTATGATAAGAAAGCTTTAAAGTCACAAACTCAAATCGAAATATTTATTGTTGTTCTCCTGAAAGTCAGCCTTGAAGTAGAACAAGGTTTAGGCTATCGAATTCCATTCTAACTAATATAACATCAGAAAGAGATACAAGCTAGTTCTGAAATCTTTTGAGCTATGAAATTTTTTGGGTAACTAATTTTTGGAGGAACTTTGCTTTAGATCAAATCACAGCGAGCCTAGATCCAGGTGCTTTTAGATGCGTTGAGAAGCGAGAACGCGTTCTTGAACGTTCGTTCATTCGTTCGTTCGTTCGTTTGAACGTTCGAACGAGCAAGTTCAGAGGAAATTCAGAGTGGTTCAGAAATTCAGAGTGGTTCAGAAATTCAGACTGCTCAAAGAGAAATATCCAGATTTGGTTGGGAATTCTGAAGTTTATTGTATCTTTTAACCAGTTGAACACGTCGGTCCTTTTACATCTTTTACTTTTACAGATTGACAGGAATTCAAGACCTGATCAGCACTGGGATTCGAACCCGTGACCTCTCGCCCACCGGGTGAACGCTCTGCTGCACGCTCTGCTAATTAGCTACACCGACATGTATCCTATTGCTGCCAGGATAGAGCCTTATGCCTTACTCTTGTAATTCAAAAGTAGATCGCTAATGATCTTTGAAAAATCACTGTAGGTTTAAATTTGGAGCACTTGATAACCAAACTTAAACATTGTGAAGATCTCTGTGAACTAACGAATTATGCCAAATGTAGGTTCTAACTTTTGGTTGTTCTTAGGGACAAAGATCAGGCAAGGCCAAATCTATTATCTAGTAAATTCAGAGATTTGTGTTTCTTGTTCACGTCGTTTGCTTTATAAAAGTAATCCTCTTTTTCTTTGCTTTGCTCTTGTTTGAGATCTAGTTTTGCCTTGGGGGAAGGCGCGAAATCGCATTTTTTTCAAACGAGATCCCGATTTCTCAGCAGAGATTCCGGATCGAAGTCACGAAATCGACCCGCCATTGCGCAATCAGTCTAACAGATATTGGTTTCGGCTGACCGTAATATTGATTGTTTTAGCTGAATCCAACTGTTTCTTCTATGATTATTAGAATATTATTGCTTTTGTTTATCTTTTTATCGATAAATGTTTTTGGATTGAGAAGCGAAGATGAGCTTGATGAGCTTGAGGAATCGGAAGAGGAAGATGTTGGTTTTGTGATTTGATTTATAATTTTATGGACCTTACAAAGAGCTTAGGATACTGTCAGTGATGTGAACAAATTTCTGTACAAACGAATGAAACAAGATGCAAAAGCTCAGCTTGCAAAGCGGCAACTGCCACCACAAGTCTATATGATTCCGGGTTGGTTTTTATATGAACTTAAGCTTTTAGGATTTGAAGGATTTAAGCTTTTAGGATTGCAAATTGATCGAGGCATCTTAAATCAATAAAATCTAAAATTCATCAATAAAAAAGCTTAAAAAGCTAAATCTAAAGCTGGCTAAAGCTGGCTCAGGCTGGCTCAGGCTGGCTAAAGCTGGCTGGCTCAGGCTGGCTAAAGCTGGCTCAGGCTGGCTCAGGCTGGCTAAAGCTGGCTCAGGCTGGCTCAGGCTGGCTAAAGCTGGCTCAGGCTGGCTAAAGCTGGCTCAGGCTGGCTAAAGCTTAACAAGCGGGTTGCTTTTTAGAAATTTTTGTCGAGATTGTTGCGTCTAGAGAATGTTAGGTACGCTAAAATGTCAGGGTTAAATGTTCTGCAGATTAAGTGCTAGACCCTGAGTGAAACTAACGAATAATAGACTTTTATTCGTTTCTTTTCAGGCCCACAAGAACCATTGCCTGGTCGTTCGCATCCGAGTGACTACTGGCCGGTGTTTCCTTTCCAAAACCAATTCTCCGGTGGTCTCGATTTGGATCCTTCAATCTCTCGGGTACAAATAAAACAAAAATTTGCTTATTTCAAAAAATCATTACCAGAATTATGATAAATTTATCGATTTATTGAGCCTAGCTCAATTCTTGATCCCTCAAATCAAATTTTTGGTAGTATATTCTGAGTTACTTGCTTTAAGAAAGACCTTATTGGAGAAAGGTAACTGTTTTCTAAAAGTTCTGATAGTTCTGATGATTATTCGAAGCGTCGGGAATCCCTTGCTAAACCACTATCGTTTTAAGATTCTAGTGGGTTGGTGAATTGAAAACTGCGGGACTTTGAACTAAAATTTATTCAACATAAAACCATCAATTCATTCCAAATAATTTCCATTATTATTGAAATTGAAACACAAAAATTGAAAACGACTTCTGCCCATTTTACAGGCAATTTGCGGATTCCTCTTTCGTAGTAGGATTTTGGTTTGTGTGTGAGACAAGTGTGAGACTCAAAACTGGAGGACTGGAGATGGAGACTGGAGATTCCAGTTTGAGCACTTTCTTCAAAAGAAACCCATTTTGGTGTCAATAGACAAGTTGTAGAGAATCAAAAATTAGGCTTATAGCCAAATTTCCAAAAAGATACACTTAGTAGTTTCGCTTAAAATGCAAGTTTTGTGAAAATTCGTAAATTTCGCATTTCTTGAAAACCAGTTCTTGAATCCTTCTGAAAATTTGGATATAAGCTTCATTTTTGATTCTCTACAACTTTTCCATTGACACCAAAATGGGTTTCTTTTGGAGAAAGTGCTCAAACTTTGACATATGACAATGGCCGGCGGTTTTCAATTCACCAACCCAATATATTCTGAGTTACTTGCTTTAGGAAAAACATTATTGGAGAAAGGTAGCTGTTTTCTAAAAGTTCTGATAGTCCTGATGATTATTCGAAGCGTCGGGAACCCTTGGCTAAACCACTATCGTTTTCAGATTCTATTTATGATTATGATTGCCCAAAAACATGAATATATTCAAGAAGTAGTCATAAAACATTCAAATTCAATCAAAGAAACCATTTTTTTTGAGGAAATTTCTATCTAACCATATACAAAAATCGTGAAATCTCACCATTCGGCTGGGAATTCTTGCGCTTGCAACGTGTTTCAATGTTTCAACGTCTTTCAATATCATCGTCAAATCATTTGACCACTAGCTGAGTTGAATCAACATCTTAGTTGATGTTGATCTTTGTCTCGTAGTTGGAATTAGGGCAAACCAAAGACTTGTGCGCTGCTGGGACTCGAACCAGAAGCCTTTCCCTTACTGAGCAACTGTGCTAACCATTACACCACGACGCACTAACAAGTCCTTTAATCCAGTGGGAGTTAACTTCGTCACTCCAGCTCCCTCTTCCAATGGTCTGCCGTCCAATGTTTTGTACCTAATCGCTAGGCTAATCGCAACGATGATTCCTCAAAACCATCAGAGGCTTTCGTGCTGGTCGGCCAGCAAATAATCGAACCGATTTGAGTCGATTCCGAATCATTTCCCTCATTATATTAACTCCGAAGCGCTTTCAATAATTATGAAAACTTTTAAGAGACATTTACCTTTGTTTAATAATGTTTTTCCTAAAGCAAGTAACTCAGAATATACTACCAAAAAAAGAATTATTTGATTTGAGGCATCGAGAACTGAGCTAGACGCGATAACTTGGTTTTCTATAATTCTGCGCAGCTTGTATTGGGTTGATGCATAATTATCTGGACTTCTTTTTGCGTGCTTGTATCTTTTTTGTTTTGAAAGCTTTTTGTCTATTTCTTTTTTTTAAATATTCGTTATTCTTTAGTGAACAAAATGCGTGTCGACAATCATATCCATCTTCGCCATATCATGCTCTACCACTTCGAAAAGGGATGGACTGCCGCAGAGTCGTTTCGCGATCTCAAAGAACTTTTTGGTCAAGGAACAATTGGACGTGCAACAGTTTATGAATGGTTCGATCGTTTCAAGTCCGGTAACACAAGTGTTGATGATGAACCAGGAAGAGGACGGCCATCAGAATTCGATGACAAGGCACTTCTGGAAGCCGTTGAAGAAGACGAAAGCCTGACAACCAGAATGCTGGCAGATGAATTCAATGTTGACCAGTCAACGATCGTGCGCCATCTCAAAAAGCTTGGCAAAGTATGGAAATTGGCTGGATGGGTCCCACACGAACTCTCCGAGAAGAACCAAGCAGATCGCCTTCGAATTTTCACCGATTTGTTGCAACGAAACGAGGAAGCACCGTTTTTGAAGAATCTCGTCACAGGCGATGAATCATGGCTGTTGTTCAAGAACCTCAAGAGAAAGAAAGTCTGCGTGTCGCCAGGTGTTTCACCTAAAGGAATACCGAAAGATGTCCACTGTAAGAAAGCAATGTGGTGTGTATGGTGGGACAGAAGCGGAATCATCCACTGGGAAATCATCTCTAACGGCATCTGTTATTGGTGGAATGACGATGATGAACGTGAGCAATGGCGAATTCCAGACAAAAATGGCAAGAAGCAATTGAACATCAATAGTGACGTCTACTTGGCACAACTTGAACGCTTACATGCTGCAATTCAGGCACGAAGACCGCGCAAAAAGAACAACATCGTCTTTCACCACGATAACGCACGTCCGCACGTTGAGCGCCATGTCGTCGAATCCATCGCTAGTAAGGGCTGGGATCTTCTTCCACACCCGCCATATTCTCCTACTGAAGCCCCAACGGACTACCACGTCAATCGATCGCTCAAAAATTGGCAAACAAATAAGATCTACAACGATTTGGATGACGATGTTAAAGCGTGGATTGCCTCCAAAGATCGTTTATTCTTCGCTCGTGGAATCGATCGTCTTCCAAGCAAATGGCAATCAGTTATTGATGTAGGCGGTGAATATGCTCCAGAATAATCAATTAAACATATTTTTCTAACTATTTATGTTATTTTTTGTTAAATAAAATCATTTATAAAAGAAGTCCGGATAATTATGCATCAACCCAATAATTGCGGATTTGGTTTTTCTATGATGCGTTTTTGTAATGAAAATCTCCTCTAAAAATCTAAAAATCTGAAAATCTGAAAATCTGAAAATCTGAAAATTTAATAATCTGAAAATCTAAAAATCTAAAAATCTCCTTATCCCCTCTAGCACATCGGAGGCGATCTCAACGTAGCCATACCCTCCTACGGAATGATGGATATTTGGGGTCGTTTCTTCAACAGGATTCACGATACAACAACTAAAGTAAAAACAATTTGAACCAATCTTTGAACCAATCTTTGAACCAATCTTTGAACCAATTTTAGTTTGGCTACTTAAACCATCCAGTCAACATGATGGATCTCGAGAAAGAGGATTTCGTTGAGTTGATGAGCAATCCGAGCACTCATTGGAATAGAGGTTCGAGAAAGTGTAAATGAAGAAAAAAACGTATTTAAACGTTTTTTAACATTTAAACTTGAAAACAGTATATTTAAATTGTGATTTAGCTGGTCAACCAACGATCCCTCTTGGAAAGTTAGCAAAAACACACGAGCCACTCAACTGTAAAGCTCCTCTTTGTAATCCGTACACGATGACATTCGGACTTGGTGTAAGTAAATCTCTTGGTAAAAAAAAGACTCCCTCAACTGTATTCTATAGTAAAAAGTGAACTCTGAAGTCGTTTCGTTCATCTAAAGAGTTAATTGTAAGCTAACCTTATAGCTAACCCCATAGATGACCCTAGAGCTAACTCTATAGCTAACCCTATAGCTAACCCCATAGCTAACCCCATAGCTAACCTTATAGCTAACCACATAGCTAACCCTATAGCTAACCCTATAGCTAACCTTATAGCTAACCTTATAGCTAACTCTATAGCTAACCCTATAGCTAACCTTATAGCTAACCTTATATTAGGGTGGTGCAAAAGAAACTGCCGATTTGACGGTAAATTCAAAAAAAAAGATGGCGTTCGATGGTGACATGATCACAATGGAATATTTTCGCAAGATCTCGAGCAGATTGGCATGGATCGGCCTGAATAACGTCCCTCAGCTTGGCTTCATTCACGACTTCTGGCCTCGAACTGTGCTCGTAATCTTCCAAAGTCTCGTCTCCCTCTCGGAATCGTTGAAACCAAGTCTGACACTGCCTGTGAGACAAACTGCCATCTCCGAAAGCAGCACAGAGAGAACGATGCGATTCGGCAGCAGACTTTCCAATTTTGAAGTTAAACAGTAATGCTGCTCGTAGCACAAACTTTTGCTTTGCTTTGCTTTTGCTCGACCATGATCTAAATAAAAAATATAAGCATTTAAATAAAATAAACAACAACCAAAAAATTCAAATGTCGAAATAAATAGCAAACAAATATGCGAACAAAACATAAAAAAATAATGCCGTTAGCATCGCTCGTTTCTGATAAATGAGAGCTGATACCCATCGGCAGTTTCTTTTGCACAACCCTAATAGCTAACCCTATAGCTAACCCTATATGTCCCTAGCTAACCCTATATGTCCCTATTAGCTAATTCGGTATTTTAGCTTTCTGTATCTCTTACTACTTTTAAAAACTAAATACAAGTAATTTAAAACAATTATTGCATATTTTCAAACGCATTTTGTCAAGTATAAGCTGAAAGTTTTAATAATATAATTTTACCAAAGTCAAATTAAACATCTAGCTTTATTGTTCTGCGTTTAAGATCCATAATTGTTTTGAAATCAAATCTAACATCAAATTCTGTTTCTTCAGATTGAGCACGATTGGGGTGGCAGCGATGGGGTTGAGGGTGATATTGATGTTCCGTTTCCCCTCAGTAAGGGTGTCGCCTATCGAATGCCGTTCTCTGGAAAGATTTATTACGGTTTGTATTGAGATTTTCATAGTCGGACTAATATTGAGTATTGGATTTGTGGGTATGAAGTCGCTAAAAGTCGCTAAAACTAAATAACTGATTTATTCAATATTTTTCATGCAATGTAATGTTCTAAATTTTCTAAATGTTCTCCATTATTTTGAATGACTTAAGCCAATTTTACTGACAAAGACCGGATGCCTTTTCGTAGAAAATTCTTGGTTTTGATTCTTGGTTTTGATTCTTGGTTTTGATGCGAATCAATCCGTGAACCACTTTTTTGTGTGTACTGACTTTATCAGTTTAATGTAACAGCCTCCACCTCCGTTTTGCTTATGAGTTTAGGGATCAATCGGAAAAAACAGCGACATTTCATACCAACCGATTCAATTCAATTCAATTCAATTCAATTCAACTCAATTCAATTTAATTCAATTCAATTCAATTCAATTCAATTCAATCCAATACTTATCATGATCCAATCCAATACTTATCATGATCCAATTCAAAACTTACAGATCGCGATAATCTCACCGTCACTTATGGGCACAACATAAATCAGATCGATCCGTTCCATTCACTATTCGATTATCAGAATCATAGGTAAATTCAAATTCTTCATTCATTCAAATTCATTCAAAATTCCTATAACAAACTCGCTTTGCTTTAGGAATCCAGCTATAGCAATACCCCGAGAGTTACCGTTGCAGAATTTGGATCGAAGGAAAAGACAAGTTCAAGTCGAGATCATCAACAACGAGTCGAAATCCGTGCCGGTAAAATCCTAAAAAACTTTTGTTTTCATTCTGAAAGTTTACTGCCGATTTTTCCCCTAATGCCGATTTTTTCCCCAATGCCGATTTTTTCCCCAATGCCGATTTATTTCCAGGTTCATCCTGAAACTGCTGCAAAGGGACAAATCGATGCAATCGTTCGTCATTTGCATGATCCGCAACCGATTCCCTCTTCGCACAATAAAGTTGCGCCATTGGCTAAAGCTCCTCCGGCTCCAGCTCCAATCCCACTACCAGAGGGAGCTCACGATGCAACTGAGTCCATACAAAACTTTTATTCTATAGGTAGGACTACTTTGTTCTTTCTGAGTACACGTTTTCAAAACCTACACAAAAATGGAAAAGTGTCGAGTTTAGGGAAATGTTTTTTGAAAGTTACTTTAGAGAACTTTTGGAATTTTTAATCTTTTATCAGTAAAGCATAGCATTAAAGTCTTAAATACAATATGCTAAAGTTAATAAAAGTCTTTGGAAATTCTTATCTTAAAGAAAATCTCCAAAAGTGTATCTTGGACGAAAGCTTTTGTCCTGACCTTCAGATTGACATTGTATTGGGTTGGGGAGAATGGGTCGGCGCCGAAAATCAAAAAATGTCTAAAACTTCTATTCGACTTCGTCAAATAATATGCGTTTGATATCAGTAGAACGGTTAACTAATTCTCTACAAAATCACATTTAAAAGAAAATTCAAACAGCGCCTCCGCTCAAGAAAAGCCATTTTTTCACAAAAACTACAAACTATCATCTAGAAAAACCATTGGTGGGATCTTCCTGCAAATTTGGCAACTTAAGTAATTGAATGTGCTCTATCTTTTTTATATAAACACCAAAGAAGGTTTATGTGAAAGAAACTGTTCAAATGATGAGTCGGACTCTTTGCCATTTTAACCAGCTGCGTTTGGAAGTTCATAAACTCCACGAAAGAAAAGCTTTGTGGAATCTCTCAAAAGTGATTTTGTAGAGAAATAGTGGATCCTTTTGATGAAACCAAACGTATGTTTAAAGAAGGCTTTATGTGTGCAAAAAAGTCCCTTTAAAGTTTGGCGCCGAGTCATAGTCCCCAACCCAATAATTAAGCAAAAAACAGGTGATTTTACAGTGCCTGTCAATCTCAGTTTAGTTTTGACTTTGCAAAATTGTTTCTTAGTGATTCATTCTTCAAAAAAATTGTGTCTTTTTCCGAGAAAATCCTGGGTTGGTGTACTTTCGCGTTTTCTTTTATACCTGCAAATTGGGAGGGGTACGGTAGTTTTGTCTTTTGTGTTTTTTCAAGCACCAACCCAGCATTTTTCTCGGAGAAAGATTGCAAATTTTTAGGAAAAGATACCGCCTCTGAGGATCGAAAGTACAAGCCGAGTCCTTTGATCGAAGATCGCCGATTTAATGTGATTCCAAAAGTTGCGCTAACAGGTCTAAAATAAAACCCTTTATATATTCAAATTTGTTGAACAGGTGAAATGAGCGATGTGGATGCAATGATAAAGAAACTATATCCAAACGGATTTCTATCGCCTTCACTCGGCCGTAATTTTGGTGAAGATGTTGACTAGGGAAATTTATCTCAATCTTTTAGATCAAGAAGACTTAATGAGGAAACTCTTGGCTGAAATGAGTCAACAACCCGTTCAACCAATGCTCAATCCGTACTTGAAGCTAAAGATGGGACCGAATTTAATTGAACAGGTGGATTGCTTGGGATTTGCTTGCTTGGAGATTTGCTTGCTTGGGATTTGCTTGCTTGGGGATTTGCTTGCTTCGGATTTGCTTGCTTCAGATTTGCTTGTTTGGGGATTTGCTTGCTTGGGATTTGCTTGCTTGGGCATTTGCGTGCTTGGGATTTGGTTAATTGGGGATTTGCTTGCTTGGGATTTGCTTGCTTGGAGATTTACTTGCTTGGGATTTACTTGCTTGGAGATTTGCTTGCTTGGAGATTTGCTTGCTTGGGGATTTGCTCTGGTTGAAGAACTAACTTACGACTGACGGGGGGGACTGACGTGAGAGAAACGATAATCCTCTAATCCTCTCAAGTTGAATCAAAGCTTTACCATTCTTTTGACACTGAAACTTTAGGTTCTTGAGCAACAAGTCCAAACGAATGCATTGTTGGAAGAGGAGATCAATTCCCGGTTGAGGCAACTCAATCTCGGGCCTTTGAATCTGAAATCACCGATCACTCATCCCCAAGCGCCACCTCCGCTCCCAATTCTACCAATTCACCGATTTTTCTTTTAGATCTCGATGTTATAAAAAAATTCTGTTCTAACAAATACATACAAATCAATAATACATCAGAAAATTACGAATTTTAGTTGTTTCCTTCTCAATTCTGACTTGCAGAACTCATAACTAGGCTTATTTCGCAATACAAGATTTCGCAATACTAGAACTACTAGAATTGAGTCTGAATATTAGATTTAAAATCAAATTTCTTGAATTTCTGTTAATTTCTGTTAATTTCTGTTAATTTTCAGTCTTTAATAGAACCATAAGAGACTTTTTGTGAACGATAACAACTAAAAATCAAACCCACGAAACATGTGAACATCTTTTTAATCCATTGCCAAATGTCGGGGAAGCCATACTCGAATACGTGTCGTTTGGTCATTGATGTAGAAATATGAATAGAGAAAAATAAAAGCAAATTGATAAAATTTAGAATAATAGATAATAAGCGATCGCTGTATACCAGAGAGGTGCATTTACAAGCATCATTCCCACTGCATATGCAACTTCTGGCACGCAGCGTTTTCACTTTACAAGGGGGCGGGGGGATAGTTGAGCGTTTCGTTGAAAAAGTGGAACAATTGAGCAAACGATCAAGAAATAGATCTGATAAGGATAAAGGATAAAGAAAAGTTGAACAAAGTTAGATATAGTAAACTCAATCAGCTCAGAGTTTGACTTGTCTACCGGTTTGCTAAAGAAAAATGCAATAGAAGTCATTCTAATTTTTGCGAACATTGGTTATTCTAGACATTTTTCTGAAAATCATGGTTGTTCTAGACATTTTTCCAGGTCCAGGACCAGTTTAAATGCAAGTAGCGGTCCAGGTTCAGGTCCAGATCCAGGTCCAGATCCAGATCCTTCAGATACAGACCCAGATCCAGTCCAAGTCTAGCTCCAGCTCCAGGTTCAGATCCAGATCCAAGTCTAGGTCCAGGTCCAAGTCTAGGTCCAGGTCCAGCCTATAGTCCAGGTCCAGTTCCAGGTTCAGCTCTAGATACAGATCCAAGTCTAGGTCCAGGTCCAGATCCAGGTCCAGATTCGGATCCAAGTCTAGGTCCAGTTCCAGATCCAGGTCCAGATTCAGATCCAGATTCAGATCCAGATCCAATTTAGGTCCAGGTCCAGGTCTAGATCCAGGCCCAGATCCAAGTCTAGGTCCAGGTCCAGGTTCAGGATTCTGGCCTTGCCGAGTCGGACCTATTGTCCTTCGTTATTGTAGACATTTTTTCAGCAAGACATGGTTGTTCTAGAAATTTTCTACTGGCCCAGGTCCAGTCCAGGTCCAGGTACAGGTCCAGAATGCTGCCCTGACTTACTGTCCTGGTCTAGATCTAGCTTTTGCCCGGGTTGGCCTAGCTTACGGCCTAGCTTACGGCCAGTCCGGTTAGAACGTTTCTGAAAGAAAATTTAACCAATTCCTAGTTGGGTAGGACAATTCTGTTTATATCAATAAATAATGCAATGTAAAGTAGACAACAAAATGCTTTAAAGTTTCGTGAGTGACTAGACGAATGGGGTCATCCGGAAAGCAGTAGTGAGGGGGAGGGAGGAGTTCCGAGTTTGTCTATCTCCTCCCATCTCACTTAAAATACAGTACAAGTGTTGTCGCCCGGTGAAGAGTGGGCCGGTAATCCGCTCTATGGATTATGCACAACAAGGAGTGAATTTCCATATCTCTTTCCTATGATCGGAAAAGGGTTGGGTGATGGGGAGAACTTTTGACTCAAACGCTGCTCTTGAAAACAGATCGGACACTTGAATTGATTAGCTGGATGGCCGTGTTTGAATCTATTCAATACTCATTTAAATAAGTATTGACAGGAATAAAGTTCTAACCTTGATTGATTGCTTGATTAACTGAATGAGGAACTTGATCAGACTGAGGAATTACAAGTGGAAAGGTTTAGAGCTGAATTTCTCAACCGATTGAGTACTGTGATCGAAGGAGTGTCAAGAACAAAACAAATCTGGAATGGAGTGCTTCATCAATTCGTAAATTCTATCAGACTGCTATCTGTAGGAAGAATCTGAAAATTATCTGGATCAACTGAATTTGAATAGAACTACCTGAGAATTGATCTTTCAATCTCAATCATGGTTCAATCGAATCGTGATAGCTAAACTTATAAAGATTGTCACCAGTTGATTGAGTCGATTAGCTGAATTGTTGTGAGTTGTGAGTTGATTAGCTGAATAAGAGAATTACCCAATACCTACTGTTGACCTTACTGAAATATACAAAGCACCTACCGTACTCAAAAGGCCAAGTTGGTTGAGAAAAGTATAGAAAATGGCTGTAGATTTTCATAGAAAAGAGTAGAGCAGGCAAATTGTAAAACTTTCTAGTTTTGTAAGGCTGCCTAGAAAATCTTTTTCGTTCCCTTTTCGATACCTTTTTATTTTGGCTCTTAATAAATTCACCAAAAAAACCATGGTTTTCTCTAATTTATTTATTATTGTTTATTGTTTATTTTTCTTTTTTAAGTCTTTTTAAAGTCTTTTTAAAGCCTTTTAAGTCAATCTTTGGGTTTAGCTTCAGCCAAAATCGAGAATGGAAACGTGTTTTCTGTGAAAAGAATCTTTAAAAACCTCTACGAAAGAAATCTGGCTGAATGAATTTCTCTGAAAATTTATCTATATACTAAACTTTTTGTATATGTACTCTATCTTTTATCTTATGACTGAAAATGAGTTTTCATTAACCTAAAAGTGTCTAAAATTGGATCATCGAGCTGCATTTTTGACTATCCAAACTTCACGCTCCCAAAAAAATCCAGACATAAGACCCGTTTAAATTTTGTTTTAATGTTATTTTGCAGAAAAATGATTGACCTTTCTAGTGAAACAAACCGTAGTTCAATCTGGTGCATTTATTGGTTCTTAAACGAAAGTACGAAAAGGAATAAAAAGACTTTCGGAACAGCTTAATGCTGTAAAGTTTTTAAGACAGTATTCAGGCTTTAATTTTGGAACAAAGTAAGGTACATGAGTTGAGTTTTTTTTATGGACATGACATAGTTGACTGTCTTTTAAAAACTATGCTAAAACTACGAACTGTAAAGTCTACTATATATAAAAGAGTAGTGTCTGTCTGTCTGTCTGCCTGTCTGTACGGGTATTTACTCGGCCGTGTTTTGACCAATCGTGTGGACCAAAAATAGCTAGGCTATTCAAAAGTTTTTTTTGTATCTTTTTCATATTTTTCATTAGAAAAATAACAACGATTAATCTATAGTTTGTTCTGAATAAAAAGTGTTTCTTGTTGATTTCCATCTTTTTAAGTCAATCTTTGGGTTTACTTTAAGCAAATTCGAGAGTGAATGCACACTTGTTTTTCGTAGAAATCTATAAAAACCTCTACGAAGAAATTGGCTGAATGAATTCCGCTGAAAATTTACCTATATACCTAACTTTTGTGCTCTATCTTTTATCTATTGACACCAAGATAGGTTTTCGTCCAGCTAAAAGTGTCAGCGCATCATCGAGTCGCTTTCCACTCTTTTGACTATCCGACTTCATGCTCATAAAAAAAGCCAATAATTAGCTTTTTGAATGAAAAAAACCGTAGTTCTATTGGTGCATTTATTGGTTGGTAAACGGAAGTATGAAAAGGAACGAAAAGACTTTCTGAACAGTCTAATAGTACCGCTTTGGAACGAGCGCTTCGATTGGTTTCCCATTGAGCTAAAGCGTCTTAGGCATCATCAAGCTACCCTTTTGACTACCCGACTTCACGCTCTCAAAAAAGATCCCGACATAAGACATGTTAAATTCGTTTTAATCTCATTTTGCAGAAAAATGATTGGCTTTTCTAATAAAACAAACCGTAGTTCAATTGGTGCATTTGTTGGTTTTAAACGGAAGTACGAAAAAGGAACGAAAAGACTTTCTGGGCAGCCAAATAGAAGCTACGGCTCCAAAAATTAGCAATCAATAAATCAAATCTTAGCAATCTGCTTGTTTTCATGGAATCAATCGTGGGTTAGCTAAGGAATTTCTTTCGGCTTATCACCCCTGATTCTTTCAAACCTTGAAAACTAAAATAGAAACAATGAGGGTGGGCTTTCCTTTGTTCAGATCAGAAAAAGAAACGAAATACTAATGAAAGTTGAAAGTTTTTCTAAGTAGCTTCTATTTGGCTTGAATTTGAGGCTAAGTTTGAAAGGAGTAAGATTCCAGTAAGATTCCAGTAAGTAAAAGTAAGAAGTAAGATTCCAGATTAAAGCACAAGAGACAAGTACTCAAAAAAGTACAGTAGTTCTAATGGAAATGGCTATAAAGATTGACAAGTCAACACTTGTAGCTTGTAGCTGCAAGTCAACACTTGTAGTTGTTAGCATTGAATAGCACATAAAAAAATGGTCTAAATAGCAAGCTTTTAATATTAGCTAAGCTTAGAATAGATGTGCTTAGGAAAAAAGAATTGATTGCTGCAATTGATTGCCGCAACGAATTGCCGCAACTGATTCACTCAAAGTCATCACTGATTTCAAAACACAGGACTCAGGCGAGTCTCAGATCAATTATAGCAAACATACGCATTTCGACGCCTTTAAACACCTACTATTGAGCTTATTGAACACCTAAATTTTTAAAAAACCCCAAAAATCGATCAATCAAGCGAAAAGGTGACCAAAATAGCGGCTTTCGTGCGGGCAGAGAAGCTCAAAATTGAGCGTGGCTGGATGGTATCGAGAGAGGAAAGACACATGCTTTTGTTCAATCAACAGCTCCTATACAGACAGACGAGTCAACACAAAATTGAACACATATGAGAAAATGGGGAAGAGAATATTTTTAGTGACTTTTTATCTCTCGGCAGAAGGGCCTAACATTGATCCCAACGCTCAAATAGGGATTGTCGTTTTTTTTGTTGGATATGGATTGGATTTCGGATGAAAATTGCTGAAAAGGGATGGATTCTAGAAAGTGCAATCGAAACGACAAATGGAAACAACTTTCAGATTGGTTTTGCTTACCGTAAATACTGTAATAGTACCCCC